TGCACCTCAGGGGGCGCCTTTGGAAGAGTGGGTCGGGTCTGGATTGGTGCCCAACACCAAGTGGACGGAGATGAGAAGAAACCGCTTACAATGAGATCTCTGAGGGGCCGGGAGATGGGGAGCCACTCCTGTGGCTGACACTTGTGAGTCAGAGTGATGGGAAAAGAAGTTGAGAAACAGAGGAAGAGGACGGGATGCTGAGGAGGGAGGAGGTGGGACGTGGCACTGTTTATTCAGTCAGAGACTGTCAGGGCCTGCCTCCTTCTGTGATGGGTCCCCCACTTGCAATTACTCATCGGCTCTTTCGAAACTCAAGTCCACCCTCTTCCAGGTGAATAATCCACTCCTCTGGGTGTCTCAAATGAGCACTTACCCTCAGGAGTAAACTCCCTCCGGAGGAAAGCCTGTGTTTGCCTGTGGGATCGCCATGGGCTAAGCCGATGCCTGAGAGCAGGACTGATCCTCCTGTGGTGGGAGAGCTGGACCTTCTCTTAGAACCCTTCAGGGCTTTCTGAGTTGCCTTTTCCTCTTGTCTTAGCGTCGTACCTTTTGGTGCCAGGCATCCAGAACTCCACTTCCAGCCTTCTCTTGTGGACTCTCACTCAATTCTTTTTTTCCCGAGAGCTTCCTGGCTTATGACCCATATATCCAGCTTCTCCCCTGCCCAGATTTGCTTGAAGGATGTTTCCTTTCCATGGAGACTTGGCAGGGAAAAGTGCGTGCTAAGGTGTTAATAACCAGCAATGATTTGGTGGGATAAACTCAGTCAGAGCATAATGCCCTAACCTAGTGCTCCCTAACGTTTTCTCATGTCTGGCACACAACAGAAAATGATAATAACATCCCCATTGTTATTGTTTAGTACCTCAGTTGTGTCCAACTCTTTGGCCAGGCTCCTCTGTCCATGGGATTTCCCAGGCAAGAATACTGGACTGGGTTGCCATTTCCTTCTCCAGGGGAACTTCATGACCCAGGGACTGAACCCACGATTGGCAGGGGGTTTCTTTATCACAGAGCCGCCAGTGAAGCCCACCACTGAGGTAAATAAAAGTGAGAGACAATGGGTCACAGAGGGCTTGGCCACAGTTCCACCCACACCTCCCCATCAGCCCCACCTAAGAGGAAGGACTTGGTATCTCCCAACTGGTGTAATCCTTTTGTGTATACCAATTGGGAAGCTCTGGTTTAACCCGGTGGTTTTTCAGTGTCCTTCAATGAGCCTTAACAGTTTGCGGATGTGTCTCAGAGGGAGTAAGGGGCTGCCCAGATGGGTCATCTACTTCAGTTACAGCATCTCGGCTTTTATCTGCTTTATTAGGCCTCTGAATAAAATTTGCTAAAGATTTCTTTCTTTTTTAACTTTTCATTTATTTTTTTTATATTTGGCTGCCTTCAGTCTTCATGGCTGCATGTGGGCTTTCTTATGCTGTTTGGGCTTCTCATTGCAGTGGCTTCTCTTGTTGAGGAGCACAGCCTCTAGGCACGCAGGTTTCAGTAGTTGCACGTCACAGGCTCTAGAGCACTGCCTCAACAGTTGTAGCACATGGGCTTGGTTGCCCCACAGCATGTGGGATCTTCCCGGACCAGGGATGGAAGCTGTGTCCCCTGTATTGGCAGGCATACTCTTAACCACTAGACCACTAGGGAAGCCCCTAAATTTTTATTAAATGGGGGGATGTTGGCAGCTTAAAGGAGTTAGAAAATCACAGTCTTAAAACCAACAAATAAAGTCTTTAGCGGTTGAAGCTTGGGCAACCATGCCAGAGTAGTGAGGGACGTAGTCTGAGGACAGAGAGGTTTTCTGGGGCCCTTCCTCCATATCATTCAGGCAGCATAGTTTATTCCATACTCACCTCCACACAAGTCTGCATATCTGTGCAGATCTTGCCCCTCTGGGTTTAAGGGGTTTGTCTCTTTCAAAAAGCCAGATGCTTGAAAAAAAATCATCCTAACACCAGCTCGATGAACGCCAGAGACTGCAAATGTCTCAGCTTAGTGAAACCAAAGGTACATTTACTGTTCTTGCCTTTGCTACCTTTTTTACTGCACTTTGATTTATTTCTGCCATTTTTTCAGAAGCCATGCAATATCTAGGAGATCAAAGCTGCTGAAAGAAAGCCTAGCAAAATGAAATGCATGTTGGTCAGCTGAGCTACTTCATAAGATTTAGGCATTGGTTCATTTACTATTTTATTGTATTATTTTGTTGTTATATTACTTTACATATTTCCACACCTGCCTTGTTCCAAAAAAGACTCAAAATGGGAAAGATTCTTTGAATTGTGTTCTACGGAAGAAATTTAATCTCAAAGTTTAGGTTACTTGGTGTTTGATGAATGACAGTTTCAAAACTACCAAGGTTTATGGTGAAATTATTTTAAGATTTCAGTTGCCTGATTTTAATTTCAAACCTTGTGTTAAAGTGTCAATGAGAGTTACAGTTGTGTGTGTGTGTGCATGCATGTACCTGCGTGTGTGTTTGGGTTTTTTTTTGTATTCCATATTGTTCTTAAAAGGGCTTTACATACTTTACAAAGAATTTGAGTCAACAAAAACAATAGTTTTACACTTTAGGGAGAATGCCTTTTAAAAACAAATAGACTTTTACCTTTCAGCCAGGATTCACCAGTAACATTTTTTCTGTTAATCAATGGAATTTTGATAACACACTTGAAATTTATGCTTCTTCACTTTTATATGCTTCTCTACTAGAGTTTTTCAGCAGCAGCAGAGGAAAGTGGAGGTGGAGAACTGAATCAAAGAACAGACTCATTTCTGTGACGCTTGACTCAAATATTCTTTCTAAGGTTCTAAAATCTCTAAGTACAGGTGTACTATTTATTCTAGATACTGCTGGGTCAGTGGAATTCTAGTCCTCCAAATGAAAAGTTTTAGAAACAGCTCAATCAAAATTTATTTCTTGTAAAACAAGTCAGTCTCCAGCAAAGAGAGCCTGTCCTTCCATGGGACTCAGCACCTACTGAGGTAGGATTCACAAAGCAGAAAATCAGCCTTTTTCTCTTGCTTCCAACTCTGTCTATACCTCAGTATAAGCGTTGTGATATAGTTGTATACACAAGTTACTCTATCGTCTAACAGCAGTTAGCTAGCATTTATTTATTTATTTATTTTAAATTTATTTATTTTAATTGGAGGCTAATTACTTTGCAGTATTGTAGTGATTTTGCCATACATTGACATGACTCAGCCATGGGTGTACATGTGTTCCCCACCCTGAACCCCCCTCCCACCTCCCTCCCCATCCCCTCCCTCAGGGTCATCCCAGTGCACCAGCCCTGAGCACCCTGTCTCATGCATCGAACCTGGACTGGTGATCTATTTCACATATGATAATATACCTATCAATACCATGTTTTGGAGATCTACCCTCCAAAGGTGGTTAACCAATGGATGAAGAACCCTTGCCAGAATCAAGATCTTTAAGGTGGTAACTTATTTATTTCATCGAAGTATAATTAATTTACAATATTGTGTTGATTTCTGCTGTCCAGCAAAGTGATTCACTTATACATAAATACACATTCTCTTTTTGTGTTCTTTTCCATTATGGTTTATCACAGGATTTTGAATATAATTCCCTGCACTATACCATAGGACCTTGATGTTTATGCATTCTGTATATACTAGTTTGCATTTGCTAACCCCAAACTCCCAATCTATCCCTCCCTCATGTCCCACCTCTTGGCAACCACAAGTCTGTTCTCTCTGTCTTTGAGTCTGTTTTTGCTTTGTAAATAAGTCATTTGTGTCATATTTTAGATTCCACATGTAAGTAATTTTATATGGCATTTTTCTTCTCTTTATGACTTACTTCACTTAGTATGATAATCTCTGGGTCCATTCATATTGCTGAAAATGGCATTATTCCATTCCTTTTTATGGCTGAATAATATTCCATTATGTGTATATATGTATATATATATACACACACATATATAGATAGATATCTCATATATATCTACATGTATATCTATATCTATATCTATAATCATATCTTCTTTATCCATTCATCTGTCAATGATCATTTAGGTTGTTTCTATGCCTTGGCAATTGTGAATAGTGCTATTATGAACATAGGGGTGCAAATATCTTTCTGAATTAGAGTTTTGTCTGGATATATATGCCCAGGATTGGGATTGCTGGATCATACAGCAATGTTATTTTTAGTTTTTGAGGAATTTCCACACTGTTTTCCACAGTGGCTGCACCAATTTACATTCCCACCAATGGTGTAGGAGGATTCCCTTTTCTTTCTTTTTTTTTTTTTTCAATTACAGTCCTTTCTTTTATTAGAGTTCCAAATTTTAAAAACTGAAAGTAAAGCAATCATTCAGTGGTTCAGATAAAAGAAAAGCATCTTTACCTGAGTAACCCATCAGGCCTACTCTGACCTGCCCTAGCTCTTCCCAGAACAAGTTTCTGGGTATCTAAACAAAACTGTTTGCATGTCGATTCCATTAAAAGTCATCTCTACTACAGGGGTCAACTAACTATGAGAACAGTTCTCATACCTGTTAAATGTACACAGTTCACAGTTAGTCCTCTATAGAGGTCTACAAAATGCTCTCCAGAGTAGTTTCTTTGGGGCCCAATAACGTAGAGATTTCCTGCAAGGATTTTTTTTTTTCTCCCCCAGACTTAGGGTTACTTATAGGGTCTTTCACTTATACAAGTTCCCTGGTGTACAAGAACTGATCACTGACAGAAGTTTTCTCATTCAGAGAATTCATAAGGTCCTTCATCAGATTTTCTTCTTTTGGGGGAGGGGGGGCTGCAAACCCAAGAAGGCTCTTCACTTACTGCTTTTGCCACATTCAAGGCAAATACACAAATTTTCACCTGTATGGCTTCTCTGATGGGTAATAAAGTCACAGTTATGTTAAGAGGCTTTTTTCACAACTGCTGGGGTTTCTTTCCAGTGGGGCTTTCTGATGTCCAATGAGGCGTGCATACTGTCTGAAGCACTGTTTCACAGGGCATTAAAAAAATATCATCCTCTGATCTGAATTCTCTTGGAATGAGGAGAGGTGAGCATTGCTAGAGAGCTTTCTCACATTCACAGAACTTGTAAGTTTCCCACCTGTATAAATCCTCTTGTGGTGATCAGACATGGGCTTGGACTGAAGGTTTTCAAAAAACTCAGGGCATTTGTAAGGTTTCTCACTGGAGGGATTGATACGGTTCTGTAAAGACAGCTCTCTGGTCAAACCATTTCTCAAGTTCCTATAACTGCAGATTTTCTGGTCTCCAATAAAGTCTGAGCTCTGAGGAAAATCTGAGATTTGCTTTGAGTTCTCCATCTTAAATGAGTTCTCTTACATTGTAAATACATCTTTTTTTGTTTGTTTGTTTATGGTATAATAACTTCTTGTCTGGTCAAGACATCTGTGAGGCTTCTGATACATGGGGAGGGCTGAGCTCAAGATCTTTCTCAGCCACATTACAGATATATGGTTTTTCACCGATGTGGATTGTCTGATGTTGAAAAAGGGCTGAGCTCTGGTGAAAGCTTTTATCACAGACACTGTATTTATAATGCAGCTCCTCTGTCTGAGTTCTCATTTTCTGTTGGGCAACAAAGTCCATGCCTAGGAGGAAGCCACTCTCACATGCAGACCACTGATGCGGTTTCTCTTCCATGTGGATTCTTTGATGTACAATAAGGTCTGAACTACAGCTGAAGCTCTTCTCATCTTCAAGGCATTTAAAAGTGTGAGTGTGAGTTGCCTGGTGCCTGATGAGGTTGGCACTCCGGGTAAAGCTTCTCATACATTCCAAGCATTTATACGGCTTCTCACCTGTGTGGACTCTCTGGTGGACAATGAGGTCTGATTTCTGGCCAAAGCACTTCTCACAGGCACCACACTTATAGGGCTTCTCCCCAGTATGTACTCTCTTATGAACAATGAAGGCTGACCGGTGTCGGTAACTTTTCTCACACTTATTACATTTGTAGGGTCTTTCACCAGTATGAGTTCTCTGGTGGCTAATAAGATCGGATTTCCCACTAAAAGCTTTTTCACACTCCAGACACTTAAATGGTTTCTCACCCGTGTGAGTTCTTCGGTGCCTTATGAGGTTTGTACTTCGGCTGAAGCATTTATCACACTCACTACACAGATATGGTTTCTCGCCTGTATGGCTTCGCTGGTGGACAAGCAGATCAGAGCTCTGACCAAAATTCTTGCCACAGATATCACATGTATAGAATTTTTTACCTGCATGCGTTCTCTGGTGTCCTGAAAGGGCTAAGTGGTGCCAAAAGCTCTTCTCACATTTGCTACATTTATAAGGTTTCTCATAACTGTGGATCCTCTGATGTGAAATAAGATCTGAGCTTTGGATGAAGGTTTTCTCACACATATCACATCTATAAGGTTTCTCCCCAGTGTGGGTTCTCTCACACATAATAAGAGCTAAGTTTTCACAAAAGTTTTGCTCACATTCAAGGCACTGGTATATCTGATCATCTATTTGAGTAATCTCATGCACACGAATAAAAATCTTTTTACCCTTCTGAGGGCATACATGATATATTTTCCTTTTTTGAGTTCTCTAATTATCTCTCTCTTCTGAAGTGTACATTTTCTATGGCTCTCTCCTAAGGAGTTTTCCACTGGTCTTCCTGACCCATCACTTTCTTCATAGTCATTTTCTCGATAAGAACTCAAAAGATACATCTGTTTTAGGCCTTTCAGTCATGAGTAGTTCCTCTCTACAAGTTTCCAGCATCACATGCACTCATTCTTTATGTGGTATTTACAACCCATAACAAGAAAGACTCAAGACTGTCTTCCTTTTGGCTCCAAAAGGTCTCCAGTCCATAGTTATTAACAATACTCAATTCTTCCCTCTCCTGGGAGGGCGACGAGAGCCAGGAGCATCCTTCTTTGCGCGGCTCGGCGAGGGTAGCTGGGGCCAGGCCATTCAGTATGCGATTTAAGGGCCAACAAGGCCAGCTAGCTTCCCGAGCCCTTTCAGTCTGACTGGGAAGCGGCCGGCGCAGCCCCGAGGATTCCCTTTTCACCACACTCTCTATAGTATTTGTTATTTGTAAACATTTCAGTGATGGCCATTCTGACTGGTGTGAGGTGGTACATCATTGAGTTTTAATTTGCATTTCTCTAATAATTGGAGATGCTGATCATCTTTCATATGCTTTTGGACATCTGTATGTCTTCTTTGGAGAAATGTCTATTTAGATCTTCTGCTTGTTTTTTGAATGGTTTGTTTGTTCTTCTGTTGTTGAGTTTTTGTGGTATTTGTATGTTTTGAATGTTAATCCCTTGGTGGTCACATCATTTGCAAATATTTTCTTCCATTCCATAGGTTGTGTTTTGTTTATGGTTTCCTTTGCTAGGTCACTTAGTATCATAAATAAAATTAACTATATGTACACCAGGAGGCCAATTGATTAGCATAGGAAATGTTTGAAATAGTTTTTAATTGGTGAAATTAGTAGTGTTCAAAAATGTGGATGGTTAGTAGTTTCATGCAAGAATGACGGCCATGTCCTGAATGAAGTACTAACACCTGGCAAGTTGACAAATGTCTGTATAGCCAAAGCTATGGTTTTTCCAGTAGTTATGTATGGACGTGAGAGTTGCACCATAAAGAAGGCTGAGTGCCGAAGAACTGATGCTTTCGAGTTGTGTTGGAGAAAACTCTTGAGAGTCCTTTGAACAGCAGGATCAAATCAGTCAATCCTAGAGGAAATCAACCCTGAATATTCATTGGAAGGACTGATACTGAAGCTGAACTCTAATACTCTGGCCACCTGATGCGAAGACCAGATTCATTGGAAAGACCCTGATGCTGGGAAAGCTTGAGGGCAGGAGGAGAAGGGGGCGATAGAGGATGAGATGATTAGATGGCATCATCTACTCAATGGACGTGAATTTGAGCAAACTCTGGGAGATAGTGAAGACAGGGAAGCCTGGCGTGCTGCAATCCATGGGGTCACAAAGATTCAGACACGACTAAGAGACTGAACAACAACAAATTGGCTTGGAAGGATTCCCATTCCATGCAAATTTCAAATCCATGCTTCAAAGTAAAGGACTCATTTGCAAACATACAGAGTTTATTTAGATAAAGATGGTAAGCTTATGGTTGTATTTTTCTTCCCTTAAAATTAAGGGTCTCTGATTGTCTTACTTGTCCCTGAAGACCCTGCACCTGTAGTTTCTAGGATATTTTCTAAACCCTTATATATAAATTCTGGGACCCTGAGAGTTGCCTGCTTGAGCAGTAGCTGTGCTCCTTTTCTGTGCCATTTCCTTATAAAACATTGGGTTCTAAACAGGTGGCAGTAGAAATCTAGAGCCACTGAGGAAAGAGTGGAAACTGGGTAGAATGTTCCTCCACTATGCTGGCTGTGATGGAAGCACTGCTCAAGTTTTGAGGAGAGGTCCACTGCAGGATTTCTTTTGAGATATCAGGCTTATCAAGTTTATTTTCAAAGAACACAATGCCATTCTGATTTTTATTAGTATTTTTTTAATTTTTTATTAGTTGGAGGCTAATTACTTCACAACATTTCAGTGGGTTTTGTCATACATTGACGTGAATCAGCCATGGATTTACATGTATTCCCCATCCCGATCCCGTCTCCCACCTCCCTGTCTCCCTCTGGGTTTTCCCAGTGCACCAGGCCCGAGCACTTGTCTCATGCATCCAACCTGGGCTGGTGATCTGTTTCACCCTTGATAATATACATGTTTCAATGCTGTTCTCTCGAAACATCCCACCCTCACCTTCTCCCACAGAGTCCAAAAGTCTGTTCTGTACATCTGTGTCTCTTTTTCTGTTTTGCATATAGGGTTATCATTACCATCTTTCTAAATTCCATATATATGTGTTAGTATACTGTAATGGTCTTTATCTTTCTGGCTTACTTTGTGTAATGGGCTCCAGTTTCATCCATCTCATTAGAACTGATTCAAATGAATTCTTTTTAATGGCTGAGTAATAGTCCATGGTGTATATGTACCACAGCTTCCTTATCCATTCATCTGCTGATGGGCATCTAGGTTGCTTCCATGTCCTGGCTATTATAAACAGTGCTGCGATGAACATTGGGGTGCATGTGTCTCTTTCAGATCTGGTTTCCTTAGTGTGTATGCCCAGAAGTGGTATTGCTGGGTCATATGGCAGTTCTATTTCCAGTTTTTTAAGAAATCTCCACACTGTTCTCCATAGCGGCTGTCATGCCAGTCAGGATGGCTGCTATCCAAAAGTCTACAAGCAATAAATGCTGGAGAGGGTGTGAGAAAAGGGAACCCTCTTACACTGTTGGTGGGAATGCAAACTGGTACAGCTGCTAGGATTTTTATTAGTACTTAAATGAGGGTCAACCACTGATAATTGTGTCGGGGACAGGTCAGGCCAGAGCCTGCCTTGGGCAAGAGGTTAGAAAGATGACTAGAACAATGAGGGGGAATTGAAAGGCCTGTTGAGAAGCATCGGCATAGAAACATCAGCATTACAAACCATTACAACAGTAATGGTTTTTCTTTTATTCTCCTCTCTGAACTATGCGAAACACTGAGGACCTTGAACAGGAAGATTGGCCTAGAGTGGATGAGCATCCTCCCCAGGGCTGCAGGGCACTGCATCAGAGAACCCCTAGGGGGCAGCACTCAGATTCAGATCTCAGACTCAGCGGCAGGGCTGTGCAGGCAGCCAGGGACACCATCTCCTGCTTCTGACGTAAAGATTAGTGCACATGCAAAGATAAGGAATATTTCTCACGCAGTAATAAGGTCTTGAATATAAAAAAGCAGCAAACCAGAACATTCCAACAAGAAAACAAGAACAGACTAGTGTGTCCAAAAGAATACAAGTCAGGTTTCACCAAGTTTTTATTGAGAACAAACTGGATGATTTTATGAGAATCCTAATGTATAATAATCATAATTGGATTATAATTATATTTAACATTTGGTCCTTGTTTCATATGTGATTCAGTCATTCTCTGTCATTTTGTCATTTTTATGAGATCTGGTCATGAAAGTTACATGGGCATCCTGGGTTTACTTACAGAGAATGACCTGGAATGGTTCTCTTCCCTGCTTATGGAAGTGAACATTCTGGGGACACTAGCTGAACAGACCTCAGGGCATTTATTTCTGGATCTTAATCACATCTCACATTCACCAATTTTAACTCTATTCAGAGAATTCCTTTTGTTGTCCTGACCAGTCTGAAAAGTAAATGACCAGTCACTTCAAATAGTGTGTGAGTTTTATTAAAAGAGGAGATGAATCTTTAGATTGCCTTTGGGAAAGTTTCAAGCTGG